ATTAGATTCTCCATTTCAGCTCCAAAACCATGGTGTTGTTCATGTACCATATCATCGTCTTCTTCACTGGAGGCGCTGAATGGTCGTACGTGAAGCTTCGTTGTGGCTAGAGAGCCGCCGAATGCCCATTGACCCGTCGGGACTGAACCCACGGAGTCGTCTGCCTCATTGTACACAAAGAGGTTTACCCTCTGGTCAGTGTGGAAGGGTTGATATGGTGTGTTTGTCTCGATCTCCGCCTGCGAAAGAGGCTGGCATTTGAGCTTCGACGCTGGCGGCGGTCGTAGAGCCGCGGATGGCAGAGCCAACGTTGCAGAGACCGTTGGTTCTGTGGTGGCGGTTGGACCCACGGTCATGGGACCGCAAGGTGTCTGCATATGGGGAGGCAAGCGGAACTCAAGTTCTTTGTTTCCGATCACCGACTGCACCTGCCTGCTCTTACTGGGCGAGGTGGAGCGTTTAATTCTGTATAGACGGAAGTAACCCCCATCTATCAGGCCCAAGAACGGCATTCCTTTATGGATGATCCACGTCACACGAGCCGCAACGGGGTCCCGAGACAGATTGGAAAGGTGTAGGCGGTGTTCACCACCATGTCGGATGGTGTTGACCGTTTTGACAGTGCCGGTGGCGGCGGCTCCCATTGATTTACTAAGGCCAGCAGCAACCGCCTTGCCACCTCTCACTCCAGCTGCAGAGGGCATTGCAAAACCACCCACGGAGGGGAAAGCGGCCCCGGTGGAGGGAGTACGCCCCCTGACTGCAGCAAGAATGGGCTGTGTCTTACCACCGACCATCTTGAAGGCCGCCGACAATGGATTTGCAGCCGGCCCCCGGTCGGGAAGCTCTTCTGCCGGAGCATCAGCAGTAGGCGGTTTCGCAGGCTTTGGTAGCGACCGTCGAAAAGGAGGCCATTGGAAGGCGCTCCGAGGCAGATCAAAGACATGCACCGTCGGTTTACCCGTAATCACTGCGAGCTTGTCTCCAGAAGGCGGACACCAAACCACGTCAACTATATGGGATGTGGTCAATCGCGGGTACCGGGCAACCTGCCGCACGCTCGGCTGCACAGATGCTGGGTCATCCGAGAGGAAAGCCCCGGCTCGACAGTATTTGGCCTGCATAACATCCCAAACATACTGGACGTCTCCCTTCTTACTCGCAGTAAATAGCATGAGGCCGTTGGGCGAAAATGAAAGGAAGCTGCAGCCATTCGGTACTTGGAAAGTGGCCACTGGATTGAACAAAGAGCTCTTGGCTTCGCCCTCGTCTAGCTTTCGCAGATCGAAGATCGATACCAAATCAGGTTCGGTAGTAGACACAGACTGGGTGTCCTGGGCATGAGTGGGAGGAAAGAGATTGTACCCCTGAGGTGAGAACTCCGTCAAATTAGGCGACCGGCGGGCTGGCATGCTTTGAGCCTGCTCCTTATTCCAGTAATTATTCCATGCTTGCAATCCCTGATCACCCATCCAGCGTGCACCTCGCATGAGCTCCTGCGTAACACCCCGGGCTACTTTGCCGAAAAAGCTTTCCCCTTCTCCGACATCAGTAGCGCAGGTTATAGCTGGACGCGACGGAGGACTTCGAGTCTCAAGCCCGAAAGCCTTTCCTTGCAACAAGGACGTCGGCACGACCGCACGGAGAGTAGCCCTGTAAGTTGCGGATGGTGGGACAATAGCTAGCCACCTCCCCTTCAATGCCACGATAGGACTGTCAGAGTTGAGAGATCCATGAGGAGAATCAGACTGAGATCCATCTGGGTCGGTGGAGCTAGAAGACGTGGAGTATCGCCGAGATTCTTTCGACTTGATACTGGTCCATGCTTTTCCTAAGAACTGATATTTGCTCATGCTGTACATGTAGACTTCCCCACTGGAACCTGACGCTACGACAACGTAGCTACCGCTCACCAAGAGCTTCAGATTCCCAGCCGGTGAAGGAGCCAAGGCAGGAAGGCCAGGTATATTGCCAAAGCATGGAGTGGGCGGCGTGGACAGAAGCGTGGTGATGTGTTCTCCCGTCCTCAAAGAATACACCTCGACCCGTGTCTGATAGTATCTGGTCTCTTCTTTCGGACGCCCTCCGGCGGCCGACTGTCTCCCAGTGGGAATGTCGTTTGCTTCCGAGCTATTCGAAGATGCATGCCCCTCATCATCTGGTTGAGCAGTGGGGCCGTGAATGATGACAGCGACATGGGGTTGGTCGTGAGTCGAAGTGTTGCTCAGCAACTTTGCTTCGATTACGCGGCCATTGAGACCTGCCAACTTCCCTACAGGACGTGTTTTCCGATCTTCAATGGCAAGAACATCCAAGCCGCCATCCGTGCCGACCAGGAGAACGCTACTCCCCATTCTGGAGGCTTTGGATGAAGGACTGATGATCGTATCGAACGCACAGAATGAATAACTGCCGTCCGTTGCGGCCCTATTCTGGCCAGAGAACAGAGGCAAATCGATATCCGGCGCTCCATAGAAATGGGCCTGCGGCAGATGCGGCAGGGGTACCTGGTTATTGAATGGACTACTGACGGAGTTGCTCTTTTGTCGGTCCACGGAGTGCTGTCTAGAGACACTGCTGGTAGCGTAACCCCGCCCATAGCTCAAGGGCCTCGCTCCCGGAGGGGGAGACGTCGACGAGGGGTGGCTGAATCCGCCTTTGTCTTGACTAGTGAGGAAACCGAAAGGAGATCCGCTGTTGAATTCGCCATCAACGGCATCATTCGGGGGACTCTTGCCATACGGGATGGACTTGGCCCATGTACCGGTGCGGTAAGCAATGTCATTCTCCGGAGAATCCCCCAGAGTGCCAAGGGCATCAAGCACCGGTGACACGATATTGTTGCTAGGTGGCGGCTCCAATGTTGGATTGGGGCAGGACGATGGTTCAGCCTGCAGAGGCGGTGACGGGGACGGTGCTTCTACTTCTAGACTGCATACGACGCGTCAACCCAAGTCAGCCAACTGTCCACATAGAGCTAAGATCCTTCTAGACACGTGGAAGGGATTCAGACTTACAGGTCGTCAGGTGTAGACTTCGGAACTGCTTTGGCTGCTTTATTCTTCCCCTTGGTTCCGGTTTTCCCCTTTTTCTTGGTCTTTCCACCGAGATCATGCTCCAAGGTGGCTCGGCTGGGGTCTTCAGGAAAGGGGTTGGTGTCACCTAAGGACCGGCTCTGCTGGCGAAACAAATCGTCCGAAGCTGCCGGTGGCATTCAAAGGGATTGCCTCTCAGAGGCAATATGAGCTCAGTTGAGACAGCCGCTCTCAGAACCCTTGGTGCGGGCTGAGAACGGAGGTTCTGACGGTGTGGTCGACCGGCAACGACACTCGCAAGGGTAATATGGATTCACTGCCGGAGGAATCCTGTGGAGTTATGGTCTATCGTCGAGCAACGCTTATCAGTAGGAGTCATAGAATAGCGGGTAACTGATGCTCCAGGAGGGGGAGTTACAGTAGGTTCCAGTGCTACAGATGCGGAGGAACAGGTGTAGCAAGAAGTTTAGATACAAGGGCCGTGCCGGATGAACGGAGAGAACAGCGTATCTGGAGCGGAGATCCGTGGACACGCCGGAGGGTGGGAGTGTAAACACGACAGGTCGGAAGCACTGCTTATACCGCCTGTCTGGGTTGGAGACCACTTATAGTAGTCGGGACAGATAGATACAGTGACGGATCAACAGACACGTCTAGATTTGAGGTAACAGGCAACCGGGAAGTGGTTGAAGTGAAGTAGAAGTTGTTTATGGCGACAGAACAAGCAAAGGGAAGAAGAGGGAAGAAGAAAGAGGGAGGGGGAGGGGAACCGGAGCAGGTCAGGAGCATGGATGACATCTCCATGGGTAGGCTGACTACGACGCCGGACTTATTTCCTATCAGTCACTTTTCCCCCCCAAATGTCCATGGTAGTTTCCCCTAGTA